TGGAGCCTTCTGAGAAAACAATCCTCCGATCCTGTCGTAACCGCTTAATTTATTGCTATTTTTCAAAATGTGAGGCCTGGCGTGCAAATTGCCTCCCAACTAGATAAATGTTTCTTGCTATCTGATTCAGGGGCGATAGCCACATGCAAAATATATATATGCACCCACATATATGCATATATCTCTATAGGGTTATGCATGCAGCTGCTGCAGCACCCCAATAAGAGCCACTGATGTAAAGCAGACCCACATAGATGCATATAATGTTTGCTGCTGCCTCTTTTAAAAGGGGGGGATCTGGGTTCTAATGACTCGCAGAATATGCATGTGTTAGCCCTGTGCCTAGGAAAGCCACAGGGAGGTCAGGTCACAACCTGTGCTCTTTCAGCACAGACGTCTCTGATTTAAAGGGAACTTATTGTATTTTAGCGTATCAGAAAAAAAAAAAATGTCCAGACCCTATCAACCCTATCAGGGAGTTTCTTCTTGTAAGGACCTTTAGGTTTAAAAAGAAGAAGAAGAGGAAAAAAAAAAAAAAAAAAAAAAGAGGGGGGAGTGAAGCGGGGGAAGAAAGAAAGAGAAAAGAAAAGAGGGGGGAAAAGAAACAGCTCAAATGAACAGAGAGATCACAGTTTGCATGGCTGCCTCTGAATAGGCTAAACTGACAAGATCAGTTTTAAAGGGCCACTTAAATCAGTTTCAAAGACTGAAGAAAAACCCGTTGTCTTCTTTGGGGGAGAATCTGTTGCTGGAGCCGGGACGCCATTATCCTTGGCTGGGCCAGTTTTATTATTATTATTCTTATTTCTGCCACTGTTGTTAGTATTCCTTCGCAGCACATGGGCAGGCTCTCCGCACTTAATTTCCAAGTGGGAGAGATAGAGTGGCTTCCTATCCCCCTTCCACTCAAGCCTTCTCTCCTCCCACCAGCCTTTCCCCTCTAAAAATATGGATACACCAAATTCTGCCTGGACAGCACCGCGTTGCCAACCCCCGAGGTCCGCAGCGCACTTAGAAATCTCCACTCTTGGAGCTGTGCTCAATCCTAAAGGAGAAGAGAGAAACGCAACCACAAACACTCTCCCTTTTGGTCTAAACTCTGGCGGGCAAGGTGATGGTGCACATTTACACTCAATTCTAGCAATAAAAAAAAATCAAATTAAAAAAAAAMCTTTTTAATCTGATGATTGTTTTCTTTTTTTTTTCTTTTCTTTATTTTTTTTAATACACTTTCTTCTAGATGCCTGTGGTCTCTCTGATGTAGCCCATGTTGAAAGTTTACAGGAGAAGTCACAGTGTGCTTTGGAAGAGTATGTTAGGAGCCAGTATCCCAACCAGCCAACACGATTCGGGAAGCTATTACTACGTCTCCCCTCCCTTCGCACTGTCTCCTCTTCTGTCATAGAGCAATTGTTTTTCGTCCGTTTGGTAGGTAAAACCCCCATAGAAACCCTAATCAGGGATATGTTACTGTCTGGCAGCAGTTTTAACTGGCCTTATATGTCCATTCAATAAAATATTGGAGAGAGAAAAAGAAAATTAAAAAAAAAATGAGAAGGGAGATGAAAGAGAGTGAAAGGAAAGCAAATGACGTTTGGGTTCTGGTTGTTTCTTAAATTTCCTTCTGCTAAGAAAGGATGTAAAAGGATGTTACAAGTTTGCTAAGAGAAGACAGGAAAAAATTAATGGACTGTGAATTAAAAAAAAAAAAGAGAGAGAGAGAGACTGTCAAATGAACTTTTACAGAATGCATTAAAAACTCCCGTGTCATTCAGAAAAAAGAATTGCTACTTATCATTTTTTTTTGTAAAAAATCAAAAAAGAAAGAAAAAAGAAAGAAAGAAAGAAAAAGGAGAAGGAAGAAGAAAAGAAACGAGGGTGTTTTTTTCCTTTTTTTTCTTTTTTCTTCCTTTTTTCCTTTTTTGGGGTAAACTTTTTWAAAAAATCTCGCTTAAAGTGCATTTAAAGGAAATTTGGAGAAAATTAGCAGAATGGAAGAAAGTCTTTTTTTTCCAAATTATTAATTGTCCTATGTGTCTATGTACCTATAGCTGTTCTTTTTTGTATTTTTCTGGTTTCAAACCAGTTTATTCTGTGGTTCTATAATAATTTTTGATATAATCTTGGCTTCTTTAAAAAAAATGTGTATCCTTAAAATATATGTTCTGAAAGAATTAAAACTGAGTCCACGAGAGTATCATAGGAAGAAAGGAAAAGAGAAAAAACCCTCAACAACACAATGATGGAAGCGCACTTAAGGTGGTGACCCAAAATCTAGCTTGAAGCTGAGAGAGCTATAATTATATAGACCCGAATGAACCACACGTGTCATATAACTACCCCCAAATCTAGGTTTTTGATATTTCAGACAGAAAATGAACTGTGGGGATTTATTCTAGGTAGAAGGAATTGTGTCCAAGACACACTATACGGTTTTGATTTAAAAACAAGCAAACAAGCAAAGTGAACTTTTGTAATTTGAATTGGGTTCCACATAGTTCTTCATGAATTGTTATTAAACTCCTCTATCTGTTTGTATATTTGCAAGCCCTTTGTATTATAATAATTGTTGATATTTTCCCTTTTTAAAAAAATACCATTGAAATCAGCATGACAAAATAACACTGTTGGCACTTATAGATAACGTGATTGATTCAGTATCTTAGAGTTTACAGTTTTGTGTTTAAAAAACTGAAGGTTTTTTTTTAAGTGCAACATTTCTGTATACTGTAAAAGTTATAATAACTGAACTGTTTGGTCGAGTCTTTGTGTGTTATATTCCAAGAAAAATTGAAAGTATTCAGAAATTAAAATATTATTTGATATCTGAAACTTGTTTGGCTGTCATAAATGTCTTTCAGAAAACCACATTACTTCTCTATAGTTTGCAGTCATTTAAGTCCATAGGAGATTGATTTGTTTACTTGTCACAGTAAGTTTGTAGCAGATGTATTGTAGTGTATTTACCTGTTTAATTCCGGGATGGGGGTGGAGGACTTAAGTTCGTGGTTTATCTGTGGTTTTAGGAAGTACTATGCTGAAATGGTAAACCATCAACCCCCATTCATCTAATCCTCCTGTTAATTAAAAATGGATTTTCTGGAAAAAAAAAAAAAAAATAAAGGCCCTTATTTTTTGTCACACTTAAGTGCCTGCATAGGAAAGGTATTGTTATGAAAAAAAATAGAAAAGGAAAAAAAAAAAGTATTAGAAATCTGGAGATCAGTATCTATTTTGTGATCGGAATGGGGCGAAAAAAAAAAAAGAAAACCTTTTGTACATTTCTGACATACGCGCACAAGATCATTCAAGCAAGGTAATAGCAGTCTTGTAAATATAGGTCAATTGTTGGCCACGAGTTTTCCTTTAAGTACGTGTGATTTTTTTTCTCTAATCCTCCGTAGTTGCCATCTATCGTTGTCACTGAGAGGTCTTCACATGGAGTGGCTGTAGCTTCTAGCGCTGAGGAGTCGGTTTCTCATGTACATACACTAGCAAGTGGGTTGTGGTTTTTTCCTTTATTTTCTCCCCTCCTTTATTATTATTACTATTATTATTATTATTTCCCCCCCTTTAGCCCGGAACGCGGGAGCGCAGGGCGGCTCGGTGCGCGCCGCCGCGTCCCGCGTGGGGAGGCCCCGCGGCGCCCCACGCGAGGCGCGGGGGCAGCGGAGATGCTGCGCGGAGGGGCTCGCGGGTCCTTGCGCGGGTGCGTGGCAGGGGCCAGAGGCGAGTGGGCGCTCGCGGAGCCTCCGCGCTCGCCCTGGGCCGCCCCGCGTTGCGGTTCCGCGGAAGGGCCAAGGGGGTCGGTCTGTAAAGTCGCTTAGCGCCTGCTCCTCAGTGTGCGCCAGGGAGGGACGTGTCTCCCGGGGGCTGAGGGCAGCGGGGGGCTCTGGCTGCGGACCCGAGCAGGGTTCCACATCCCAATCATGGCTCCTTTTTCTTTATTTTTCCCTATAAATATATAAATATATATAAATATATAAATATACTATTATTGCAGGGGATTGCTGACCTCTAGATTTAGCTTTTTCTATTGCAAGTGCTATCCATGTGAGTGCGTGTGCGTGAAGTTTTTATGCTTACTAAGAACACAGGATCTTGACTTGTTTGTTTTGTGTTAGTTTATTGTAAACAACCATTTGTTGTAAATTGTTATTGGCATTAAATTATAATTTATGATTTTCAAATCCAAAACACTCTCTGCTTTTTATGTTGCAAAGCCTGTAAGCTATCTCTGTATTTATAAGTTTCTTGCAGCGAGCTTTGGTTCACAGAGGATAATAGTAAACAGAAAATGCACCAGGGTTAAATAAAAACACACACACACTCCGCGGCGCGCACCCAGGCGCGCACCCAGCCCAGCCCCGCGTATATAGGTTTGCAGCGCTCGGAGGAGGATTTGTTTAGGGACTTCAGTTAGTTTTAAGTTTAGAGCGTTTAAAGAAAGTTTTTCTTTTCACGCTGAGTTAGAACAAAAGATCTCGCCAAAGATTGAATTGGACAAAAGAGGAGGGTTGGGAGAGAGGAGCTTGTTCTGCGCGGAATTGAGGAGACCTTTTTTTAA